AATTTTTTTTTTCATAAATCAAGCGCACACATCTTGTTCTCTCTATACTTTTTTATATATTTCAAACAAGGGTGTCCAGCACAAAACGTCATTACCTTTCAATTTTATTTTGCAAAACATTTCTACCTTTTATTTTTTGGCATTTTCACCATTATTCTCACTTTTTTATTGCAGAAAAAGTCATTTTCATCCAATTTTTCAATAAAGAAATGTAAAATGACATATATACTCTCCTATTTAAATAAAACAAAAAAGAAAAGAAAAGAAAAGAAAAATTGAAGAACAAGCTGTAATTATGCTCCCAATTTTTTTAAAAAAATGCAAATGAGTTGAAATAAATTATTAAAAGGGTAATTAGCACAAAAATCTATATCTTTCAATTTTATTCTGCAAAACGTTCAAACCTTTCTTTTTTTACACTTTCACCCTTATTTTTTTATATTTTATTCTTGAAATCATCATTTAATCCATTTTTTCAATTAAAAGCTATAAAAAGACGAATATATAATCATATTTAAATAAGAAAAATAAAGAATAAATTTCAATTATTTCTTCAAAATTTCTTTGTATTTTTTTTTTTTTGAAAAATTTGGGAATATAGTTACAATTGTTCTTTTATTTCTTTTCTTTATTTTTATTTTGTTTAAATAGGAAGGTATATTCGTCATTTTTACATTTTTAATTGAAAAAATGGATGAAAATGATGATTTTCGCAATATAATGTGAAAATAAAAATGAAATGCGAAAAAAAAATAAAAGATATAGATGTTTTACATAATAATATTGAAAGGTATGAACATTTTGTGCTTATAACTATTTTAATAATTTATTTGGATTCACTTGTAGTTTTTAAAAAAAATTGGGAGCACAATTGTAATTCGTTCTTTAATTTTTCTTTGTTTTTGTTTTATTTAAATAGAAGGGTATATTTGTTATTTTATATTTTATATTTAGAAATTGGATGAAAATAACATTTTTTTTGCAATGAAATATGTAAATAGGAGTAGAAATGCCAAAAAATGAAGTGTAAGGACATTTTACACAATAACATTGAAAGACAAGGACATTTCGTGCTAATTACCCATTCAAACAATGTCTATTTCTCTGTCTACATTCAAACACATATCTCTCTTGCTTCTACAACTATCATCGAACCATCACTGGTCTCCAGCACCTACCATTGATCACCAACAACTTATCGTCCCCTGTTCGTGATTCCAATGATAGCATCCTGATGCCTCCACTTCTCTCTTCATCGGCAGACTGCAATTTCACTTCTATCTCCACCTCCAGTCGTATGAAACCCCACCGTCTTCCAAATATGCCTATCTTAACTATCGACTACACCCCAATTGCCTACTCACCATTGATGCTCGATTTTCCACCACGACTCCATTTCTCTTTCCATCATAAAATTGCGACTCCATTTTTCTCTCCACCGCTAGTCATGTAGAGCCCATAGCCTTCGAAATTGCCTTTCTTAATCGTGCCCTAAATCTATTTTACTTCATTGTGAGGAGAAGTTTAGGGTAGTGTGCAGAGGCAGCGGCATGAAGGATAAATTCGAATTGTAATGGTTAGGGGTGCAATCGGACCGAACCAAATAGAAACGGTTGATTTGGTTTCGATTCCTCTACTAAATGGGTCAATTTGGGACGATGCATCGAGAACCAAGATATACTAGACCTTTGAACACTCGAACCCAAAATTATGTCACGTTGAAATTTCATTTTCCATATGCATTTTCTTCTTTCCTTTAATGGGTAATCAAAATTCAAGTTTAAATAATTTTATAAATACTTCACAACTTCATAGTTGTAAAGCAGTCTAATAGGAAAAATATATCTTTAGTTCAATATTTCATAAGAATTCACATTTTTCGTTGTTTCCAAAGTGACTGTCCATCAGAAATCAAGATCCTTGAGGAATACTAAAGATAATCATGTTATTGTTAAACGAATTTTCTTAGAAACTATTTTTCAATCGTGATTTTACCTTTTATGTTGTGTTTGATAATTTTTTTTGCCTTTTTGAGTTGATCTTAAGTTTTAGATTGAATTTTTGTTTGTTGCATTGTTCAATTGATTTAGATTAAAATAATAACAAATGGTTTCATACTTTATTTTTGTCTTTTTTCAATTGACGGGTAGTTTCATACTTTATTTTTATAATTTTTAAATACAAAGAATCAACCGGACCGAATTGGAATCGATTGGTTCGGTTCTATAGTTGGATACGAAACCAATGGTTCAATTTCTAAGATTTTCATTGGTATTTGATTCGATTTGGTTCCTTTCAAAATCAGATCGAACCAGACCGTGCCCTGCTTTTAGTGATGGTGGAAAAGATGAATGTGGAGGCTTGTAATAGAGGCTGAGTTGAAGATGCAGGTCTTTGTGGATGGGACCTATAGATGACGATAACGTTGTGTTAATGGTTAGTTTAGCACTGCAGTCAACGAGTTGGGTGGTGCAACGCTGCTTATGCATTTGGTTGTGCATGTATGTGTGTATTTGTAATGCAGGGAGATGGTAGGCTAGAGTTGGAAGTGGAGGTGATGGTGATGGCAGTAGTGGTGGTGTGATGGAGGTGACAGTGAATTTGAGGAGGAGGAGGTGCTAGGTTGTGGGTTTGAGGTGGCGACAGTGATTTCGATGGTGAGGGACTATGGTGGAGTATGATGCGTGGGTAAGGTGAGGTAGGGGAGATGAAGAGCAAATTGTAACCAGTGATTGGATAATTATGACCAGTGAATTTGATGAATTCTGTTTGATAAATAAACCGTAACCCATAAAAATATATAATTTATGATAAAATTTGTACTTGTAACTCACAATTTGTGTCTTTGTGACTGACATTCTGATAAATAATATGTAACCTAAATAACATATGATTTGCAACTAAATTTGTGATTGGTATGTGACTGTGACTATAAATTGTGTGTGATTGTGATCTTAACCTGATTAATTATAGGTCACAAAACTTTTATTAGGGGTCACAAAATGCGTGACTACTTGATTTTTGAAAAAAAGTTACAAATTTGTTATTTTTGAAAGTGTATCTTAAAACTTTGTTATGCAATTTCTCCACCTAAACCTTTTGTAGTTACGAAGTTATTTCTAGTATCTAAAATCTTCTTTGCATTGTAGCTAACACCCCTATTTCATTGACATTTTTGCACAGGGTCATGCTATAACTTCAATTTTACCGTACATTCCTGGAGGGTCAAGTGTATATGGATAAATATTACATTCACTGTCAGCTACATTATCCAACTCACGTCAACTAACCATTCTATACAGAGTGAAACAGATAATGTATTTATTGGCAATGTTGATGCCATTGCCACGTTAGGTGGTGATCATCAACACTACAGAATAATTGCAAGCAAGTATTAATTTAATTGTTAATATTTATATTAAGCAACTCAATTTATATATAACTACTTTTGTTATATTTTATTATTGATACCTAAGGCGACAAGTGTTATTCTAAAACTTGACAATAAGCAAAAGATACGGCTTTATGTATGCTTGTGCAAAAAGCCTATACCACCTTGCTCTAATATCATTCGTAGAATATAATCCTTTAGTCTTATTTTATTAATAATTATGAAGAGGATGAATAATGACTAATGATAATCTAATTTCACTTTCCCTATCGTACAAGATACCACGTGACATGAAATTAATAAAAGAAAGTGCAGCATTTTCAAGAAAGTTTATGCATAATATATTTCAACATTGCATCGATTTGTTAAGATGTTTAGCAAATATACTATATTACTATAAGATATTATATATTTGCAATATTTATATATGCCACTGATAAGATGGTAGTGCATGTAAAATTTATTGTATAATCCATGGATTCTTAGAAGAGAACTTTTGACACAAATATAGAAGTAAAGAAAGGAAGAAAAAATGATTGATGAATCATACCATAAATTAAGATAAAAATGAATAATGGGTTATGAACTTAAAATTGGAATATATTAAAGTTTAGGTTCAATCGGCACTCAAGTCCTTCAAGGAAAATATTTGGCTCCTGGGTTCGAGTTAATCACGTGCATATGCCACTGTCTTTAAGAGATATTAGTTTTGGTATGGATGCAATAAATTTTATTTGAATTCATAAAAATAAAAATTAAAAATTAAAAAATCACAATATTTTAATCTTGGTCCACAATCTCACTATAATATATTTACTAGCACGACTCAGCCCCCCGAAGCAAATCTCAGTGGTGAAAATGATAAGGGTGAGGTATACTCAGCCTTGCTGGAAGCCGCAGTGTGGGGGTTAAATTCCTGAAACATGAATTGGGACTCTTTGTGGGTACCAGTGTACAGGTAGCTCTTGTTCTCTAACTTGTTGGGGCACATTTTGCGATTAACCTCTCTCACGATACTTTAGGGATGGGTAGTGGGGGACCCTTAAGGTTGGGGTTCAACCTTTTATATTTACTAGCACGACTCTGGTGACAGATGTATGGGAATTCCCATGACAAATTAGCATCGAAAGAAGGTCAGTTTAGGTCCCCGAGTCTCTTGAATAAAGGAACATAACGTGCCAGGTAGTGCTACATAACTGTGAACCAATTAGAAAAGAAACTAGTGGAGATCGAGAAAGTTAACATACTCTTCAAAATCTGATGGTTTAAAAGTCAAGTTTCGTACAATCCCACTTGTTTGTGGCTTTTCTATGCACGAACTTTTATGACATAAAATTGCATAACACATAATCTTTGACAAAAAATAAAAATAAAGAAGGCCTTATCCAAGACTTCCTCTTTATATGGTTAGGATTATGGTTAAGGTTAGGTTGATTAGTAAAGGCAAAAAGAAAAGTATGAAGTGAGTAGGATAGATGTTGATGGAGCGAATTTTATAATAACCGTTTATCCTTGGCAACCGTCCTTTAATAATTATCTCACTATACACTAACTAATTAATTCTTGATTTTTATTTTATATATATATAGCAATACTGTTTAAGAAAAATCCTTCATATACGTGTTTTAAATCCCTTGATCAAATAGAGGGGGCCCTCTTTGCACCTTAATGCCTGCATCTGCCCCTTTTCTGTCGATTTATACTTATGAGGAGTTATTAGTGAAGACACGTATCTACAACCTTATGTCCTATTCGGCTTCCCTGGTACGCCTATCTTTCTTGATTCTTCTTCGCTATTCACAATCTGTACATGTGGTACATTTGTACTCATAATTCCAGGATTTGGACTTGGTTTTGATGTTGAGATTTCACTTATATGGATTATGCATGATGTATGAATTTTTTTTTTCTTTTCTTTTTATTAGATGAAAACTGGAGCTGAAGGTGTTGAATCAATTTTTGCAGCACGCCAAGAGAAACTGAAGAAGAAAAGCAGGGATATAGTATGAAGAAGGTTGGAATGTGCGAGAATGCCGATAGATCAGATCACTCTAATGGTGAAGAACCTCAGGATGCAGATTATTCTCATTTGTCATCACTAAGCTATGAGTTAGAGAGCCTGGTTTTTGCAAGATTTCCAAGGTCAGAGTACTGGAAATTAAGCTTTGTGAATAAGAGGTGTTTGGCTCTTTTAAACAGTGGTGAGCTTTATAAGATTAGGAAGGAGATTGGATTTAAAGAATCTTCTGTTTTCATGTTGGCAATTGGGGAAAGCAGTTGGTGGTCATTTGATCGAGAATTTAAGTCTCGAAGGAAGCTCCCAATTTTACCATCAGATTCTTGTTTTTCATTGGGAGATAAAGAATCCCTTTGTGCCGGGACTCATCTTCTTGTCTCAGGCAATGAGATAGATGGTCTTGTTCTTTGGAGATATGAATTGGCAAAGAACAAATGGTACAAAGGTCCATCTATGATTAGCCCAAGATGCTTGTTTGCATCTGCAACTTGTGGCACCTCTGCTTATGTGGCCGGTGGGGTAGGGGCAGCAGCGAATAGTGAAGTCTACGATTCTGCTGAAAAATATAATCAAAATGATGGATCGTGGGAACTACTTCCAAGGATGAAGAGGAGGAGGAAACTTTGCTCTGGATGTTACATGGACAATAGATTTTACGTCATTGGAGGACGAAATGAACATGGAGAACTAACGTGTGGTGAATTTTTTGATGAAACTACAAATAAATGGAAGCTCATACCAGACATGTTGAAAGATGATCCTGTACAATTAGCCCATTCACCTCCTCTTGTTGCTGTTGCAAATAACGAGTTATACTCACTCGAAGCTTCTTCAAACCAGCTGAAGATGTACTTGAAGAACACGAATGAATGGAAGCATTTGGGGCCAGTTCCAGTACGAACTGATGGCAGCAGAGGTTGGGGTGTTGCGTTCAAGTCTTTGGGAAACCAACTGTTGGTAGTAGGAGCATCCTCTGCTGGTAATGGCATGGCCATATATACCTGCTGCCCAGATGCCAATACGGGGGAAGTCCAGTGGAGACCTGTTGACAGTGGCAGAATTCGGCTGAGTCACTTTATTTTAAATTGTTCAATAATGGTAGCTTGACAGGAGGGAGGAAGGAATCTTAAAGAACCAGGATCCCTAATCATGATATTAAAGAAAACAAGATTGTTTCCGTATGTGTAATCTGAATATCATTTCTGTATATATTGAATAAAATAGGAATCTAACCTTGTCAAAGTATTTCTGGTCCTTGATTGTTTGATATGACCACGAGAGTGTCATCTATATCAATCAATTCAGTAGTTTTACTGGAGAACTTTCTTCACTATAGTTAGTTTAAATTGTACGGTGACGATGCCACAGAAAGGCTTCTCTCGTGCTCACCTTACTTCTTCGTAAACTGGAAAGGGACGAAGAACTTTTTCATCCACAACGTTTCAAATAATTAACGATAAGAGTACCAAAGGCAAAAACAATAAAAGTAGGAGTGCATACTTGGATATTGTTGGAGGGTTTCCTACTTATATGACAAAATTCATTTCAATCCAATAATAAGATCAATGTCCAGGCTAAATGATCCCACCAAAACCACCCTCAATCGGCAAACTAGCTTTCTCAATAACATTAGCAAAGCCTGCCAATCTTTCTCTGCTAGCGGACGGATGCATATCAATGGCCCAGCTCAAACAAATCCACTGCCAAATGATCACCACCTCCCGCATTCATGACACCTACGCCGCCAGCCGGTTACTAAACTTTTGTGCTCTGGCGGATTCCGGGGATCTCAATTACGCTCTCAAACTCTTCAAGAGCACCCCAGAACCCAATTCATTCATGTGGAACACAATCATAAGAGCTCAAGCCAGTAGCCCAAATCCTCAAGAAGCTCTGCTTCTCTACAATGATATGCGAAGGTTCGGTGTAACTCCTGGGAAACACACATTCCCTTTTGCTCTCAAGGCTTGCTCTAATCTAATTTCTATTAAAACTTGTAAACAAGTGCATGCCCATGTGTTGAAATATGGGCTGGAGTTAGATTTGCATATTGTTAATAGTTTGATAAGAGGGTACTCAGTTTCGTTTGGCTTGGAGAATGCACGGAAAGTGTTTGATGAAGCTTCTGAGACGAACTTGACCATTTGGACGACGATGATATGTGGGTATGCTCAGAATGATTTTGCTGATGAAGCAATAAAGCTGTTTGATGATATGATTTCTAACGGATATGAGCCTAATGGAGTAACTTTATCTTCAGTGTTATCAGCTTGCGCTCAGTCAGGGCGTTTGGATTTAGGAAAGAAAATACATGAGTATATGGAAGAGAGAGGGATTGAATTAGGAGTGATTCTTGGGACTGCATTGGTGAATATGTATGCAAAGAATGGAGCAATCCCCGAAGCAAAACAGTGTTTTCATAGTCTGAAAGAGAAAAATATTGCAACCTGGAATGCAATGATTTGTGGGCTGGCTGTCCATGGACATGCGAATGAAGCACTAGAATTCTTTAAAACGCTAGACAAACAAAGAATGATGCCTAACGATATCACTCTTGTCGGAGTTCTATCGGTGTGCTGCCATGCTGGGATGTTTGATTATGGTTACCGAATCTTTTATACAATGAAGAAGGTTTATGGTATTGATCCCAAGCTAGAGCATTATGGATGCATGGTTGACCTGCTTGGAAGAGCTGGGCGGCTGGTGGAGGCTGAAGAGCTGATAAAGGGAATGGTTCAGAAGGCTGATGTGGTGATTTGGGGAGCATTGTTAAGTGCCTGTAAGAAGTATGGAAATATTGAGGTTGCTGAACGAGTGGCAAAGGAAATTATTGTTTTGGATCCTGATTATCACGGAGCATATGTTGTTTTGTCCAATATGTATGCCGAGGCTGGAAGATGGGAGGATGTGTCACAAAGGAGGAATGTGATGAAAGAAGGGAGTTTGAAGAAGACACCGGGGTTGAGCTTGGTGGACGGTGGTATGTGATTTTGTAATCTTGAACAGTCGTTGCACGTTTGATGAGATATCATAAATTAGATTGTAACCATTTTGTCAATTATACTATTTAGTGCTAAACATCAAATATTTTTTAGAGAATTTATGTTATGCAAATTTAAACATATCATCAAACACTGAGATCTTTCTTCTTTCAAAGGAAGGAAGCAAATAAGAATTGAGAGTTTTTACATTAGTGCTACATGGTATAAAGAGAAGAGTAAAATTTCTGAACTGTTGTGCTAAAAGTATTACCAAACCTTTACTACTCTTTTGCACAAACAAGAAAAAATTAGGATACTAAACTAACAAATTTTCCTTTCAAAAAACACTCTTTCCAATTTCAGCTGAACTAAGGCAGGCTATGCAGCCTTCAGTTACAAAAAGGAACAGACCATGTCGCAGCAACTAATTAACTCATCCCAATGTCTTTCCTTTTAGGAAAAATTAGTCCCTTTTTTTCCCTTTTTTTTTTTTTTTTTTTAATATCTATTTTGGTTCTTTTAGAGGCAACTTCCCAACAACTCGTTTCTTGTTGCTTTTTAAAATCATAAATTATTTATTTATTTATTTATTTTCAATTTTGGAGCCCTTGATGATCAACATCAAACGACTGGCATGTGTTTTATTCCAAAATCAACCCACTGACTTTAATCTAATATTGCTAGGGGATCATTAGTGTGCAACTAATCAGCGAAAGATCCAAGTACTTTCTATATCTTGTTAAATTTTTTGGAGCTCAACTCATTTATAGTCTGCAACCAGCCTTTAACTGACATTTTGACATAAACCCAATCTACAAACTCAGCAGCAACCTGAGATGAAGCTGGCAGTAATTTTCATCACCTGTAACTTCTGGTTGATTGCATCTGCAGGTGCACAAGCAATTTTTCTTGAATCTTACAATTATTCTGCTAAATCAAATCACCAAAATTGATTCGTTTCATTGCAGATATTTTCCAGAATCCAGATTTCGAATTCCCAATAACAAACTTGCCCACAAACTCCACTTCCCCATTTATTTTGTTGAATGAAAAAAGCACTATCCCAGGATGGACATTCCAAGGTGAAGTCCGGTATGTAAGAGCAGAAGGCAATGCATCTCTAACCTGGAATGTGCGCGCTATAATGTTTGGTCAAGATGGGAAGATCAACCAAACTTTACTGCAAATGGGATGTAATGCAATACCTGCTTACTTTCACTTTGGCTCTCTGGCTGGTCAGAACCGTAAGGCTAATGTAAGCCTTGTGGTTTCAGCACCTGATAGTTCCATGGAATTTTTTTGACACAAAAGTACAGTAAAGTAACGTGGCCGTGGGAAGTTTATGGTCACCGGTTGGGAAGCTGGAGAGATGGAGAACATATAAGCTTAATACTCCGAAGTCAAGCTACAGATGCAGATCCCAATTCTGCATGTCGGCAGGATCGTCTACTCAAAACAGCGGTAAGATCTTTATTTTATATTTATATACTTAATACTCTTTTTTCTGCATGTAACATTTTTCACTTTAATCATCTCTAGCCTAATTTAATGAAAGGATAACTAATAACTTGCTTGTTTGATGGAAAAAAAAAACGCATGTTAAAAGTTAAAACAGATAATCTACTTCCTAATGGTGGATTTGAATCTGGACCTGCATTCCTGGGTTCTCCTGGGGAGGGAGTTTTACTAGTTTCCGACCCAAGTCTTGTAAAATCCGCTCTACAGCAATGGACCACAATGGGAAATGTTAAATACATAAACTCCAAAAACTTCTTCGATCCAGAAGGCAATGCTGCTATCGAGATTGTTTCGGGAGTCTTGGAATACAAACAGCAAAACGAATTTCAGAGGATTCTAATTATAACTTGGAATTCATGCTGGGAGATGCCAATGACTCGTGCTCTTGGGTAATCATAGTAGGGGACCAGGGGTTGTGGCAGGATCATCGGCTCAGAATTTTTCACTACAGAGCAGTGGGACCGGAGCAGCCAAGAAATATTCAATGACATTCAAGGGAGAGCCAAGTCCAACACCAATTACCTTTCTCAGCTATAAGACTACACAATGGGAAGATGGCTTGTTTTGTGGTCCAGTCATTGATGGTGTAATTCTAAGTGCTTCTCATGGGCACAAATCCAATCTGCAGCTAATATTTCTATTTGCCTTTTCATGTAGCCCTTCTACAAATGAGCTAGTTACTATGACCGCTCTTGCAGAACTATTTAGAAACCAAGTTCAATAAGAATTGCGCATTCAATTTCCAAAGAAATTGACTCTAATTTGTTCTCAATTACATGTGAAATGGAGATGCTTCCATAAAAATGAAAACGTTTCATATGCTTAAATGCCAATTAGCTTATTTTGCCCAGCCAAATAACAATTAGCATATTTTGATAGAAAGAGAACTTAAAAAAGAAAGCAAAGATAACTTCTATCACGAAATAAATTAGTTAGCAGGAAAAAGTATAAAATGTCAATCTGAACGAGATGAGATTTTCCCATGAGGGTGCTCATATTAACAAAAACATAGGCATGACCTGTATAAAGAACTGGATTTTGAACGTGGATACACAATGTTATTTAGCTAGATCATCTCGAATATCTGTTATCTTATTTATACTATATAGGATATGCTAAGGTACTATAAAAATATCTGCCAGGTCCAGCAACTACCATACATAAAATCAGAAAAACTCATATATGAAAATAAATATCATACTTCATAAGAGCTTGGATTCCTTTGTAGGAACTGACATCTTATAACAATGCCAAACGGTCAATTTTACAACTTCTGTATGGTGTGCCTGTTGTAGATACAAATATCTTTTCACTGCTCATCCCACATTTGACCAACAAAGGTGAGTAGTAATCCCACACTATACAATTCTTACAACTTAACATACAATAATATTTCTTCGGATGCAGTGAGCAGCCAAAATCAATGTAGCATCTATCTTGCAGCAAATATCTGATTAAATACAGCACAAAAAATGAGAACAACAACTATAAGTAGATAGTGACTAATATAAAAGCAGCTGAAGTGATTTGCATCATTGGAGGGGAGGTTTTATTTAATGGGTTCACCCAAGGAAAATACAAAGGTCCACTGCAGGTAATATTTGGAACATATTGGAAACTTCACAATACCTGTACGAGCACTCGGGTGATTGTTTTCTATTCTCATTTCACATGAGATGCTAAAGATTTTGTACTGATGACGGGGGTCACACGGTTAAGAAGAGATTGGTACTCCTTACTCCTGGACCATTCATCAATCTCACGTGCACGCAGAACAGGAAGAGGATGCGAAAGTTGCCTTGTTTGAGCATTCCTGAATGTCAATGAGCACATTAGGGAATCTATCTATAGTAAATTAACATCAAAAGTTCAAAGCATAACAACTTCACTGGCCTTATGTACCACCCAACAGGGCTTGAAGAAGCCTTGTCATAAGAGCGAGCTTGGTCCAAGAAAGCATCCACATTTAATTGATCCGCCATAGAGGGGCAGCCGCCAGCTAATTTCATTAAGACTGAGATGACCACCTCTTGTAGGCGATTGAGAGAAGATATTAATGGATAAGAACTTACTCAATCACTTATTGGAAAATGATAAATTATAATATTTTATACCTTTGGGTCTTGAGCAACAAGAAGGGCTGCCCGATCACAAGTAAGTTCTGCTGCCCTGAGCCAGCGGAAAAGTTGTTCTTCTAATCTCTCAGCTATCAGACCACCAAGACCTGTAAACAAGCAGATGGTACAGTAAAGTTTTCAATTTTGATGAATACTGTCGCTATCCTAACCTGACCTGAACATGCGTTCCGGACTGAACTCCCACATCAGATCAAACCTGGCCCACTCAAGTAGGGCCAGAGATCTTCAAAAAAAAAAAAACATAGGTAGAATTGCCAAGGTCGGATGAGTATGCCGAACTCAAGTCTTATGGTTGGACACAAAATGAAAAGCCTAATGAAGTAATTAAGTTAAGCTAAAGAGGCCATCGTTGCCAATAGAGTGAATTGTCCCGCCATGATGGCAGCGCCCTCCCAATCCAACAAGGTTGATTAGGCAGCCTAGGCTAGAACCTAAGGCTGTAGACCATCATCATGCCACACAACCTCACTAATCAACTAATCACCTCCAGAGCTACTGCCGCACACCATCCAAGGAGAAAGTATTGTAGCTTGACATGACTAGGGCTATTCTTATATCATGTTTGCCTATTGAAGGGGTTCAGTTCCTCTAAATCCAGGGACAAATACAATGAAAATCTAAGCATTTTGAGCACTATAAATTTCCTTTGATTCAGTATTAAATGTCTTTTGATGCAAAGATTTAGTAAATTGGCTATCCGTATACGACACCAGATATAACAACTGAACTCCACGGAGCTCATTACATAAGACCATCATAATTCAAACGATGAAAATCAACATTTGATCCTAGCTAACTAATACAGATATAAGGTGCTTACCAGGTAGGGTATAGGCCCCAAGTGTGAGAATATTTGCAAATGTCAGCCACACACCATGATCACATTTCAGATGACCCAACTCATGAGCAAAAACAGCCTAAATACGAGCAACAAAAAATTTAGTAAGATATCTTGCTAACCCTGTCAAAATGCTATTTGTTAGGATACTTTACTATCTCTGTTAGGGTGCTTCATTGGGATGCTATTTGTTAGGTTATCTCTGTTAGGGTGCCCTTGATATGGAGTGATGAGGGTTTGAGTCCTGAGACATCACTCAAAAGCTAGAAAATTTGCACAACAGGACAATTATAGGATAGCTTGAAGTATGAAAGGGAGATTTTTATGATATTCAAAAAAAGCTAATAATTTACAGAAATGAACAGCACCCATCCTACTAGAGAAGATAAAATGATGACCTGAAGCTCGTTTCTAGTCAGCAGCTCCACTAAGCTTGTGTGAACAACAACAAATGGTTTTTTACCACCGATAGCCAGAGTGTAAGCATTGGGCACGGGGCTTTGACGTACATATAAGTCAGGCGCCTCTATGTTCAGTATTTTGGCAGCCTCTATCATCAACTGATAAAGTTCAGGGAGCTGCAAAATCAAATCATCTCCAACTACATGAGTTAATATAGGTACAATACAATCTTCATCTGCATTATACATTAACCCTTCAGAAAACTATCTTAAAGAATATCAGAAGTTGCCACACGGTACTCGTTAAGAAAATTAGATAGTTTTTTTTGTGGCAGGATATGCCAGTGCTTATGCAAGGTTTTGGCACAAGCAAGATGCTTCAAATGCTTAACAACTGCCTGATATGCACTTTATGCAAATTCTTCAATCCAACAAACTTTTATGAAGGCGTATGAAAAAACAATTAAAAGAAAAATTAGAAGACATATTGGAAATCAGTTAATTTTCTCTTCTGTTAACTACTAAATGCATGGTTGTCTAAATCCCAAGAAACAAATTGTGACATATCCCATTCATCGTAAACACACTGAACCATGATTCGTGTAGGTATCAAAAAAAATGTTGAGGTGAAATGACATGGAAGCAATAGCGGAGCTAGGACACGAATCCAGTGGGGGCTAAAATTAACTCTGGAAAATTATTTTTCAAACACAAAAAAATAAAAAAAATAAATGTCAAGATTAAACAGTAAATAAAGATTAAATGTCATATAAAAAAATTCTCAAATTTCAGTGGGGCCAGGGACCTCACCCCCTCTGCAACTGCACTTAAGGGAAAAAGAGGCAAAACACTATTGAGAGCTATCATATAAAATCTTTGGCTAGAAGGATGTAATACATTTCAGGAAATTGATCGCCATGTTTTTTTTAAAAAAAAAAAAAAAAAAAGAAAAAAAAAAAAAAAAAATTAACTCTGGAAAATTATTTTTCAAACACAAAAAAATAAAAAAAATAAATGTCAAGATTAAACAGTAAATAAAGATTAAATGTCATATAAAAAAATTCTCAAATTTCAGTGGGGCCAGGGACCTCACCCCCTCTGCAACTGCACTTAAGGGAAAAAGAGGCAAAACACTATTGAGAGCTATCATATAAAATCTTTGGCTAGAAGGATGTAATACATTTCAGGAAATTGATCGCCATGTTTTTTTTAAAAAAAAAAAAAAAAAAGTAAATAAATAAACAATAATAATAAAATTAAATATCTAGGATGGGCAGGGAGGACATAAGAACTGAACATGCAATCAAGTGAAGAATAAATAATGAAATTTTCAATTACTAAATGGCTATCTTCAGGTAAAAAAGCTTCAAAAATTTCTTGGCTTCAAGAAGATCTAATATTGACATTTCACAAGTACAAATAAAGGTTGGAAAAATATAACAAGTTTGATTGTATATTTTTGAGCTTTTGTAATGCATCCATGATCATAATTAGTAACAAAGTATAACCTTATCTCACATTTAAACTAGTCATAATAAAGAAAAGGTTGTTTACTACACCTGATTTCCACCAACAAGAACCGATGTCCCTATATTCTCCAAAAGCATAACTTGTTCAGCAACAGTTCCTGCAGAACCGCATATTAAGATGAACTCTTTGGTTATTCTTATCAAATAAAATTTTCATCCTTTTTTTATGAATTTTTACTTCATCTCTGATTAGGCATAGACCGACCAATTAATAACCAAATTAGCCCCGTGAAAAGGCCAGTCTAAGCCATGAAGTGGCCTTATTTTTGTCTCTAAGATTCTATGTATTTCCTGGTAAATCAAGGAACTTACTCTATCTAGTGTTTCAAAACCGGATTTGATCATGATAAGGTATTAAGTTACCTAATAAAGCTTTTCCAATCTCGTTTAAACCCGGAATCGCTCTCAAAAGCAACGTATTCTGCACCACGATAAATTGGTGAACAAATAAGCACCTCAAAGTTCAGAAATTATCATGAAAACCATCAACTGTACCACTTAAGAACACAGAACATGGTAAAAAATAAGTACCTCAAGGAATGACATCAATTACCTGTCTATCAAGAGGATGCCTAAAGTCATCAGCATCAAGATCGCGAAAAACAACTGAAGCAGCTCGGCAAACATATTTATGACTTCTTGGATTACTATTCAGCAGTGTAAACTTGACAGCAAACGAATTGAACGCTGATTTATTTCTAGCAGTAGATCTTAAACTAATCGGCGAAAATTTCGCTGATAAATAAAGTGTGGGGAGCGGAATTGAAGCCATCGTTGCACAGGAATTTAGCGTCTAGATTCTGTGGTCTGCCCCAGTCATTCCATTGGTGTAATACGCACAGATCACGACGTAATATATGTTGTTTGTTGGATTTGATTACGTCTTAAGTTTCTATCCGCAGCCGTACTAATGGTATCAATTTGCCGCCATTTCGTTTTCTGTGGACTTCAGCTCACCTCGCTGTAAAAATATGGATGAGAAGAGAGAGAGAACGGATAAGACCAAATGACCAGGAATAAATAAATAAATAAATAAAAATAGAGACCGAGCTACATAACCTGTGCAGCTCACTGGTTGGTTGATATAATGTACACATGGGGATCAAAATTATTTTATTCATAGAAACCCATGTCGGTCATGTGAGGGTGTGATCACTCGAAGTATCAACGACGAGGGTCATTTGGCTTTTTTCAAAGAAGAAAGAGTAATGCTATTTAGTCTGATGTTGCAACATCACTTTAAGTCCCTAACTTGACATTAATTGATAGACTCATTTAATTTCACATTTCATTAGATCAATCATTTAGTATCACGTAGATTGGAATTACAATCCTAGTTGAACTTGTGGCATTACATAAAAAAAAAAAAAAAAAATGCTGGCCAATGATGGGGCATTTTTAAGGAATGAAGTGACAGGTTTTGATTGACAATATTTTTTATTTTTTTAGCTATCAATAAAAAAATGTTAAACGTATATATACATAAAATTCTATCATTGATTCTGTCCCAGTAACAGAATTGAAGACAAAGAGGGTTTTCATAGAGGAGCTTGGGTCATGGTTAGAGGACTTTTATGGTGAGTTAATTAAAGAAATTGTTGATGTAAAAAATTGTGAAGACTAATTTTTAAGCTAACTTTAAGAAAAATTACCACTCATGTTTAGTTCGAGAGATCAATTTTGTACACTTTATTTCATTTTTTTTATTTTTTTTTATCTCCCACCTTGAAGGGAATCATTTCTCACTATTTATAAGGGGCTCGACCGAAATTGTGTCATTTCAACCAAATCAGCCACTTGTACCAAGCTCAAACCACATGCCACCAACCTTTTCCTTGATTGGTTAATGAGGCCGATATCACGTCATTGTTTCCTTCAGGTAATGATGGCCCGCAGATGATAGGGTAACTAAGGCGACCGATTAGTGGGTTTGGACGGTACTGATGTCATATCCACCAAGTGCATGAGATTGATAGGGTAATATGACAAAATGTAAGGAATCTGCAATAATTATGTCTCTTGAAATTATGGCTAAAATGAGACCGAGCTGATCTTCAGAGGTCGGTATGTGCATGAGGTAGGTCCCGCAAACATTAAATGTGAGACCGTAGGTCGATAGTCAACAAATACCCCCAAGTCAGCCCTGTTGTGGAGGAGGGCTGATCTCTGGACTCGGCTGGCCCTTTTTCCTAGAAGTGTCCTTATAGTAGTGCCAGGTGTTGGGCTTCTGTTTGGGGTGAGCTGTACCACATTGTGGGTGGCTTCTCCAGTAAGCTTTGTCAAAACGACGTAGTTTTGAGTTGTTTTGACAGAGTGAATCTTAATCATTCATTTTCCCTCCTTTTATTAAATGAACGATCTAGATTGAGTCTCTTGGCCTCCTCTTACTTTAAATCCCTTTTAGCCTTCCATTTTGCCATTTATTCCATGTAACTATTCTCTCTAAGATAGAGAGAGAATTTTTTGAGTGCGCTTTTCCTTCTTTAGAGTGAGGTCGTCAGATCCTAGTTCCCAGTTATTCTTCTGCTTCCTCTCTTCGTTCGTTCTATTTGACTTTCACATGAGCTCCGACAAGTCTAGAGTACACTCCTGGGGAAACCAGTAGGAAGAGTCAGTACCTCTCACCTCTAGCTCATCATCTAGTTGTCAAGAAATCTTGACCCCTGTCCCTATTTCGATTGTTAACCCAATAGATCTAGAACGCCCTGCGAATATGGAGTTAGGTGGAGAGGGGTCAAGAGAGGAGATTAGATCTTATGGGAGAACTGAGGGGAATAATCCAGAGTGGGGAGTGAGCTCGTATAGGTCGGTTGTAACTGGTGATATGTTAGTTAGCTTGAGGGTTAAGTACGACATTCCGAGCTTGGTAATAATGATAATTCTTGAACGACTCTCCCCCAGTGGGATACGTTGCTCTGAATTCAACCAACTTACATGTCGGGCATAAACTGGCCGTTCTTAGAGTTATTCGCAAATTTCTCTCCTTCTAGGGAAGAACTCCTACCCAGCTATGCCCCAATGGGTGGTAAACTCTAATCACCACCTTGTTCCTGTGGAATAAGCAAGGGAATCCCGAGTTGAGTGTAGAGCAATTTAATTTCCTTTTCACATTCAAGGAGGACAGGAAGAATTCCGACTAGTGGTATACCAGTGTTAGGCTGAGGACGGGTGGTTCCTTAGTTTTGGATACTCCCTCCTCCATTAAGAAATGGAAGGAGGAATTTTTTTTGTGTCGGGGGAGTGACAATTTCACCCCAACAAACTTAGCAAATTTTTGCTCCAAAAATTCAATCCGCATTTGCCACTGTCAGAACCCAAGGAAGAACACAGTCCTAATTTAGTTATTTGGGTAAGTTCTCAACAAGTGATTTCATTTTACCATGTAATTAATTGTATTGCAAAGGCAAGGCAAAATGCTTTGAAAATTCTTTATCAAAATCCTTGTTTTGAGCATTACAAGACCTACCTACACTTGATTGGCATTTCCTTTCGTTGAGGAACCTAGTTCGGCTACCTAAAAGAAAATAAGTGTTTCTTTTTTGTGATTCCTTTAATAATTTAGTAAAATTCTATTACCTATATGTACAACGCAATTAGTATGAATGAGGGTGGAGTTCACAGTTTGAATCCATATTTGCTCAGTGGTAGCTGCATAGCATAGCTGGTAGTTATTTCACAGTATGAGTCTATATTTGCTTTGTGATGTATTGGTATATTCCTTGTTGAATGTGTATTCATAATTCAATTGAAATAATGTAATTTTGTGTTTTCAGACTGTCCATCAAAGCAATGATGCCCAAATTGTGGGTTGAGGTTCGCGAAATGTACGGAGGTGGAGAAGAACACAAAAAAATATAGGGCGATTATTCTTACGTTGTATTAGAGACAGTTCTTCGATTGGAATGCTACTTCGTCATCAAGAAAAAAACCATTACAATTTAAAGGTGAGTGTAGTGGGCAATCAAGGTGTGTTTGTTCAGGTAAATTTGAGCCTAAATATCCTAATGAAGATTTGTCGTGCATGTTGAAGACATGTGCTCAAATAACTAGAGAAAAGACTTGGAGATATCTTTGAACATAACTATCCGCTAGGGAAAAGGATCCACCGAGGAGAACGACAAAAGGAGAGGGAAAAGAAACGTTAATGTTCTCCAACTACATAATGAGATACGAGACTCGTTTGTATTTTTTATGTTTGTGTAATCGACACTATCTTCAATTTAAAGTATGTTTGAATGTAATGAACTTTGTTGATGTCAACTAAATTTATTTACTATTTTTTGGTACATAATTTTCATTGAACCGTGTTTTAACAAATTCAGAGTTCTCATGTCAATTTGTCCACTATTGTTTGTCTACCACCGAAGATTGTCAGGTAGGGATGAATCTAGACTTCGAGTTCAGCTAGTGCGGACCGCAAACGTTGAACGTTTACTGTCAACGATCAATGCCCGTAATAGCAAAATAGGGTCGCTTATTAATATTTAATTAAATAATATTCAAAAAAGCATACGGACTAGAGCTAAAAGAACTAGATGTACTACTAGAATTAGAATAAATAGATATTGACTTTTGTTTTGGTTGAAAAAATCATTCAGAAATCTACAAAAATGCCCCAATTTTTTTCTAATTAGAATTGATTAAGAAACAAAGCTCACATGATTGAATTGAGCCCAACATCTTCTCAATTGATTTTTTTTTCACTTATCCTAAATTCCTAAACATAAATTCTCAAATGACAAATCAAAACTCATAAATGATAAATTATAACTCATAATTCAATGACTCGTACAACATAAATTATTTATCTCAACCACAGATTCATAATTCTGATTTTAATGCCAAATTGTCAATTAACTCATCGAACATAAATCATCATTCATAAGTTATAAATAAAAAATAACACCAAAACCAAATTTTGAAAACAATGATTTTAAGAAGGGAAAATTGCAGCCGAGATATCAAACCTTTCGTTTATTAGTAGACTTTGCCCAAACCTTTAGTTTGTGTCACCGGAGATAACAAACCTTTAAAAAATGAGCAGGGCCAGTCCAAAATGACGGTTTTCGTCTGTTTGACCGCCAAAACCGTCAGTTGACCCCTCTAATGATTTTTTCAAGAATTTTCCCCAAATAAGTAAAGGACAATATGGGCATTACACATATTTTCCTCCTCAACATCAAACACGTCAGTTGCAACTTCATTTCACTCACCATTCACTATGGACCCAGCGAAAACCCACGAAGAAGACGAAACGTACGTGAAAGAAGACGAACATTCAGTGGACATTGCAGCCTACATTCAAGGCTCTCTCCCCCAACCCGTGTATGGTAAGTGTGTTCCCCTTTTTTCAGTTTACAATGTGAAGTTCTGTGATTATGAAGTTTCCCTGTTCGATTGTCTTCACGTACTGGGAAATTCAAAAATTTTAAGTGACTTGGTGAATTATAGTGTAATACTTGTGTACTATTTTTTCTGCACATGCTCGTTGCTCAAATTGAAAAAGGTTAGGGCTTAACTTTAAATTTTTCGTTGTTTTTTTCAAGGAAAAATTCAAGGTACTTCAGCATACGGCTTTATCATGGTGAAATTTTATTTCGGAAGACGAGAAATTTTGTGTATAAGCATGGGAAAATAAGTTATATATACTATATCGACACCGATTTCTTCAATAGATTTCTTTTGGACAATGCCGTGAAGATGTTAGGATATTATGATAGAATTAGATATCTGTGCAAGATGGAGAAGAAAACAATGAGTGAAGTTTCATTTTGGTTGGTTAAAGACTCAGATTCCATGAACTTAGTGAAGTGGTTTGGTGATAATAGGATAGCTGAACTGTATTGCTTACCTATAGTTGAGGTTTTGGAGTTGCCTTGGGATGAGACAGAACAAAGGGATGTTCAAGTGTTTGATTGTGAGACTGGTGAGGAGTTGGTGAATGTTCAAAAGTCTGGAGAACATGATGAAGCATTGAGTGAGCAGCAACCATGCTATGCTGTTGAGATTTTTGACGAATCAGTAGAACGTGATGACTTATACGTAGTTGATGAAGTGGATGACATGGAAGCAGATGAAGAGGAAGTTATCCTTACAGGAGGTGACGTTGAAGAGGTTACAGTGCATGGAACATAGCATGAGTATATAGAGGTTGATTTTATAGGGGCTGAAGTAGACTCACATGAACCAGAAGTGTATGCTGCTGAACCAGAGAAACCACATGATGTTGAACCACACTTGACATCTGAACATGAGTTACATGACGCCGACCTAGAGGTGCAAGCTATTGAAACTAATGTGCATGCTTCTAAACCACAGCAGCAGGCTCAGCATCAGGTGCATGCTGCTGAACAAGAGGCGCAGGCTACTGAACATGATGTGCATGACGTCGAAGCAGAGGTGCAGGCTGCTAAAATTGATGTGCATGCTTTTGAACCACAGCAGCAGGCTCAGCATGAGGCGCATGTTGTTGAACAAGAGGCGCAGGCTGCTGAACATGATGTGCATGATGCCGAAGCAGAGGTGCAGGCTGTTGAAATTGATATGCATGCTTCTGAACCACAGCAGCAGGCTCAACATGAGGTGCAGGATGCTAAACATAAGTTGCATGATGCTGAACCAAAGCTGCAGGCTGCTGAAACTGATGTGCATGCTTCTAAACCAGAGCAACAGGCTTAACATGAGGTGCAGACTGCTGAGCATGAGTTGCATGATGCCGAACCAGAGGTGCAGGTTGCTGAAACTGATGTGGAGCTTGATGAATCGCATGCTGATGTACAGGATGCTGAAACTGGTGTGGAGCATGATGTGGAGCATGATGATCCTGAGCAGGATGATGAATATAAGAAGGATATTTTGGGAGAAGAATTCAATGACTGAGAAGGAAGAAAATATTGCTGTGGATGATAATGTTGAAAACACATATTTTAGGTTGAGTAAAGATTTTGACATTGATGAAAGGGATGAGTAAGAAGGTTTAAGGGATGAGCAGAAAGGTGAGGCAGTTGCTGGGGAAGAAGCTGGAACAGACTACGAAGACTCCAATGATCTTAGAAGCTTACCTAGTGATACGGAGGCTGAGGGAAGCAGCGCAGAGATGGGATCATGCATTCGGGCTAAGAATTATGAAAATCATTGAGAAGGCTAAGTCTGAGGCAAGGTACTTGAAGGCAGACTATGCAAGTAACCATAAATTTAAGACAAGTAACAGAGACGGTTTGAGGTGGAGCATTGACTTGACAAAAAATGCATGTGCATGCAGAAAATGGCAGCTCACTGGAATACCATGTTCCCATACAATATCAGGCATGCTTTCAAGGGATATTGGCATATATGAGTACATCGACCCATGGTATAGCAAGGAAGCATACCTCAAGTGTTACTCCCCAGTGATCCATCCGATGTCAGGGCCTGAACTGTGGCCAGAATTGGGAAAGCATCCTCTCAATCAACCTCAAAAGAGAAAACAGGCTGGCAGACCCAAAAAAATGAGGAAGAAGTCACAGGCAGAGCCATCTGCAGGAGTTAAGATAGGAAGGACTGGCATGAAGATGACTTGTAAAAGCTGTGGAGGGTCCGGACATAACAAAAGAAGCTGTAAGAGACCACTGCCTGGTGAAGATAGTTCACAGCAACAGTCTCAACCAACCGCACAAATAGAGTCCCAAGAAGATACATAAACTAGATCAGCGAAGGAGAAGAGAAAAGCACATTCAATGGAAACCTCCAAGTCACAGACAAAGAAGTCCAACAATAGAGGATCGAAATCTTGAACATCATGTGGTTTCTCTTGTATAGTTACTTACTTTTTTGGGAAAATGCTGTGATTTTTTGTAAACTGAACTAGAAATATGAGCTTCCAATACTGTTATTTTGTAGATGTAGCTGAAATTTCTGATGAAATTGTTGAATGTGATGATAATGTTGATGTCGAATTTCTAGCATTATGTTACTGTTGGTTGTCGTTAGTTTTCGAAATTGTATTCGTAAGATCTGATGTGCAGGCGATTAGGAAATATATGAAAATGTTTGATACTTCCTCTGAAAGTATTATCAAACATTTGATACCTTTACTGAAATATTCTTAAAGGTTTTGTATTTTATCTGAAACCATTAGAAAATGTTTGGTACTGATTCTGCGAATCGTTATAAAGTTTGGTACCTATGCTGCACCTTCTGCAGAAAAATTTGGAGTGTAATCAGCTCTTTTAATTTCGCATTTTACGTAGAGGCCAGGAAAAGATCGTTATCACCTATTAAGGCAGCATTAAGTACAGGGAAAAGGAAGCACTCCATTTCAAGTAAAAAGGTATAGCAAAATTTTTCCCTTTTACATATGCATTTCACAATATCTAGCGCATGGCTCCATGCCGAACCCTAAACTCAAATTTCTGGAACTAAATACTGATATCCTATAATCTGACCCTACATACCTAGGAACAAACCCATTTTACAAATACTCCACACACAAATCCGAAGAGCCAGATCTTCCACACATTTGGTCTTGTTGCTTGAAGGGTGTTGATTTCAATTTCCATTTCCCTCCTAGCTCGTAATAGACCAGGAATTAGTTCCTTCGATCTCTCACACATTGGAGGGTCACACCACATAAAGAAGGAGCATTCACCCACATCTTGGCTTCGAGGACAAGTTAGAAATCTTCTTCTCAGGTTTAGGTTCGTCCACGAGGTCTTCATCTACACCGAGGAACCATATTTGCATAAATTCAACACCATGTGCATGCGGTAAAAAAATGGAAGGAAATAAACAGTGAAGTATATAATAGGAGGAAAATGTGTGTAATGCCCAGATTGCCCTTCACTTATTTAGGAAAAATTCTTGAAAATATCATTAGAGGGGTCAACTAATTGTTTTGGCAATCAAACAGATGGAAACCGTCATTTTGGATTGGCCCTACTCATTTTTTAAAGGTTTGGTATCTCCGATAGCACAAATTAAAGGTTTGGGCAAAGTCGGCTAATAAACGAAAGGTTTGATACCTCGGCTGCAATTTTCCCTTTTTAGAACTAGAAGTATTTTTTACCTCAAAATAAAATTGTTTTTCAAACTCTTAAAAGTATAAAGAGCAATTCTTAGATTGTCCAAATTTGAATTTTATAAAATAAATTGATTAAACATAAAGATACAAGTATCTATATTATGAAGTAATAATTGGAGTGAATAAATTTTTTGAAAAAATTATTTCGAAAAGGAAAACTATAGTTGTTTAGTTATTATTTATTGTAACAAAAAATTAAACAAAAAAGTTGATGGATATAGAATTGAACCCCATACCTTTACATACAAAGAAGAACCCCTCTATCATATGAGCTAGGGATGGCAATTCGAACCGTCAAAATCGAAAATCGCGGTTAACCGAATCGATGGTACAATGGGTGTGTATAGTATTTGATTTTAGTGATCTAGTTCGGGACGAGGCGGGTATAGTTTTTACACCGTCGACCCGGCCCAAACTGATTACCCGTTAATTTATTTATTTATTTTATTATTTTTTCAATAAGCACCCGTTAAAAAAATTTGACAATTGGGCTTTCTATTACTCTTTCTATGAATGGAGATTGAATATGAATTGAGGTTGGAAATTTTGAGTTATTGAGTGGGAATCAAGTTTGAAGTATAATGATCAAGGGATAATGATATTGTTTAGTATTGTTATGTTGATAATATTGTTTGTTAAATTCGAATTGTGCATTTGAGAATTGGGATATTGTTTGCATTTTTATTTGGGATATTATTTGCTAAATTAACTTAGTATCGTGTTCTTCATTTATTTATGTGTTATATGAGAACTTGAAAATATAGCAATTGTGAATTGTGATATTAAAAATTAATTTGAGTATTGTGAAATGTGATTATGTAATTTATGAAAATTGAGATTTGGGGAATATATAATTTTTGATAAATTGTTGTTCGGAATTTGAAATTGAAACTTTAATTATACTTTAAAATTAATTTTCATTCTAATACAGATTGTAAAATTATTTTTCAATCGATGTCCCAACCTAGTTTTTGTAGTGGTGCATTTAATCCCGTAACTACTTTTAGTCGAGGAAACGATTTATTAAGCATTGATAACACATATAGATAGAATAATTTTTAATATTATTTAATTTGATATTAGTAAATGACATCACTATACGGTCGTTGACTGTTGACAATCAACGTCGCCCTAATTGGGTTGAAGTCCTAAATTTGTCCCTGTTCGTGGTTATTAACAACCCGAATTCAACTGAACTAAGATATGAATTGAAGCGACTTACATGATTATGATGCGGATATGGTATAACCAAAAATTGATGGTTCGGTAATTATTTTGATTGAACAGAACCGTTGCCAACCCTAATATGAGCTGCCATTGCTAAAGGTTGGTAGAATCTTTTATTAATATTTAATTATTCTGTTTAAAAATTAAAAGGCGTAGTATCGGCCAAGGGAATCGAATCTTTAATGTGAAAGGTACGACGCGACCACATAATCTGCACGCCCATTTTGTTGAATCTTTTGCTCAAAACACACACACACACACACACACTAAATTATATAATTTACAAATTATATAATTTAGTGTGTGTGTGTGTGTGTGTATATATATATATATATATACACTGGGGAAAAATTATATATTCCCCAATTCACCATTCAAGTAGTGGGCGGAAGGTAATCGCTAAACAAATGGAAAAAAAAAATCGTTTGAGGAATGGGTAGGTCTCATGATGACACGTGAATGACTTGCTTGACGGTTACGTAGTGCTAGACTCCTATAAATACCCCATGGGCGTGTTAGGTAAAGAGGACTTTTCTTTTCAAGAAAAATATTCCCTTCCATTATTGCCTCTATATTCCATAACATCCTTACATCCTTTATCTCAAGACAACTATTGATTTTCATGCCGGAGGTAAAACGGGGGGAGGAAGCCCCAACCTCTTTTTTTGCAAGACCACTGGAGAACTAAAGATAACTTTTTCCCTCTCAAGAAGGCACAGAGTCGCATCGAAATTATTTCATTGGCGCCGTCTGTGGAAACTTTCACCAAGCATAAAAGCTATGTCAAGAAGATGAACTAGGAGCGATGCTTGTGTGCTTGCTAACACTGTAGAGTCAGAGTCTGTCGCCAAGGGTCAAGATCCGTAGCCGCAGCCTCAATATGTAATGTAGAGCCAATTAGCCTTCTGGAGGCCCAATTAGCCACTATGATAACTCTCTCGCAAAGTCAGACACAAAGAATAGCCAATCTATCCCACAATCTACCAGAAGCACCGCCACAAAACACAAGTTGGCAACCACCCCAGATGAACCACGCAACTGTCCTCCCAGTCATTCAGGAGACGGTTGCCGACCAAGGGTCCCATTAAGTCATACATCCGCAAGGCAAGCGTCCTATGGTAGATCTGGAGCATGGAATGGAGGTTATAATGTTCTAGAAGATTGATGACGCGCTGTCAATAAGAAAGGACAGGCGACGGCAGATGGTTTTAGAAGAAGACCTATTTGTCCCAGAAATCATGGTAGTCCATCTACCAAAGGGTTTCAAACAGCCAATGATAGAAGTGTATGATAGAGTTACTGATCCACTTGATCATCTACGCACTTTCATTGATTTGATGAGATTGTATGTAGCCCTAGATGCCATGATGTATTGGTCCTCTATGCTGACACTAAGAAGAGAAGCAAGAGATTGGGTGGCCATTCTGGCTCTGTGATCTATCAAAACATGTGATGAGCTCTCTAGAAACTTTGTAGCATATTTCATGAGTAGCGAGAGGAAGGGAAAGATCTCTACATGGCTAGTGCAAGTTGTCCAAGATAAAGATGAGCCCCTGCAAGATTATATGGCTAGGTTTAGTCGGAAAACATTAGGCATAAAGGATCTTTAGATGTCGACGGTAGTCATTGCATTGATGAATGGGATGCAGAGTCAAGCCTTTAAGATGTCACTCTCGAAAAACCCCTCGAAGTCAATGTATGATCTATTGAAAAAGGAGGACAAATATATAGATGTCGAGGAAGTAAGAAGGGTCACGAGAAACTTTCGAGAAGGACTGGAGCCAGAAGCTCACAAGCGAAAATCACAGGAGGAGAGAAAATCTGTTGATAAGAATAAGTCAAAAAACAAGCATATGAACAGAGGATATGCGTAGGATCTATCGATCAAACAAAAGCGAGAAGAGGTAAAAGCCTTCACCCCTCTAAACGCTCCATGGGCTAAGGTTTTAATGAAAATTTGGGACATGAAAGAGCTCGACTGGCCGAAGCCTATGGTGGCCTTCGCTAATAAGAGAGACAAGAGCAAGTATTGTCACTTCCATAGGGACCATGGGCATGACACGGAGGAATGTATCTACTTGAATGAGGTTTCTGACTAAATATGTGAAGAATGATCGAGGCAAATAGAAAGTTGATTACCGTCCATCACCTAGGGCTGGAGTAATAAATGTTATAACTGGAGGGATCGCAGTAGGTAGAGAAGGGTTATGCCCTCACTATTAGGGTTTGCTCCATCCAGGAGAAGGCTAAATATCTCTTTCAATGAAGAAGATTTGATTGGTGTGGCAATACCCCACGACGATGCTTTGGTGATCGTTAGTGACATAGCGAATTTTGACGTCAAAAAGGTGTTGGTTGATGGTGGTAGCGCGGAAAACGTCCTCAGTTGGGAAG